TCCTCTCTTACTATATCCTAAATGTCCTAAGTTTTGCCATTGCCTAATGTTGATACCCCTCAGATATTGCATCCTATGGTCTTTTTTCTAATCATATGATATTGAAGAAAAAAAACTGGGCTGGAGATGACACAGAACTGGACCCAAGCAAAAGAAACCCAGTGAAGGATTTTCCTGTGAAATTCCCTAGCTTCATTTCTAGGATTAATAAATTCATGCAGAAGGAAAAATATATACGTCTGTACTTATCCTTTTTAAGAAGAGTACAACTTACTGGCATCTGAAAAGAGTTTCTTGTGCTGGTGCTACGCCCTTTCATGAGGCACATGGGCTTTCATGAAGCTTGAGAGGATGAAGGGACCTCATATTTCTGACTTCCCTTTCTTCCCACTCAATCAATTCCCTTAATAGGAGTTCCATTCACTCCATCAAAACTGAATTCCTTTTAATATACCCTATATATATCACTTGCTATGTGATTTTTAGAACATAGGTTGTTGTTACTTGCAGAATGGTCAATTTTTATTTTTTTAAAGAATACTGAAGTTGCCATCCTTGTAACACATTTTTTCTCTTAAAACTGGGTTGGTTTTATCAAGCACTTTTTTTATCACAGCAGACATTGACAGTGCATGGAAGTAAGAGACAAGAGTGAGCCAGGATCACACATATGTGTTTGTCATCTCCAGCCCAACATGAATCCAGATATTCAAAGGCATAAATCAATGATCCGTTTAACCTGTTCCACTGATTTTTCTTAACTTTAAACAACAAATTCAATGGATTTTATGTTGTACTTTACGGTGCTTAAAGTACTGAGTTCAGAGCATAGATTTGATCTCTTGATTTCAGTGAAGGCCAGAGGCTGTGGACCTCCCCCTGAAATTACCAATGGAAATATTGCTGGTGGCTCTGAGGAACAGTATCAACATGGGGACAGAAAGCAGTATGAGTGTAACATGGAATTCAAATTGGTTGGATCAAAGGAAATAGAATGTGTTGATGGACAGTGGTCACCTCCTCCCTCTTGCATTGGTAATCTACTTAACACTACTTGTGAGAAGTCTGTAATTCACTGTAAGCTAATACATCACAAATATTGTCACAATTAAAATTACATATTTGCAGATAGGTTATGTTCAAAATCATGTTGTGAATGAAGAGTCAGGAAAAGCCATTACCTTTTCCTGTCACTACCACTGCAACAGTGACAGCCCAAAGCAGGAACTGCTGTTCTCCTACAGAGGTGACAGCACTGCAGTACTCTAAGGAACACTACAATGGTTTTCAGGTCTTATACTAATTCTGACTGAAAGTGTACATTACAAATGTGTAGGTGCATAATCAATTATAATTTTGACTGATGAGAATCAGGGATTCAGGTGACTTGGATTAATTGAAGGTTTCCTTACACTTTAGGATTTATGTATCAACGGTTTGGCAAAGTAATGTTAGCTGAAACTACTTGTGGATCATGCTACAGTGTTGGAAAAGGAGGGGAAAAGACAGAGAGGGATTTAGTAAACTGACTAAAAGATATACGCATACTCCAGCTGTGTTCAAGTTTAGTTGTTACAATTAATGGGGGTAGGCTTGGCTCACCAAATGCAAATATAGTTATTTTTAAGTTCTTTCAGCTATTCATATGTAACTCCAATATTATTGTGGAATACTTCTGCTCTTTTCAACAGAAGACAAAATGCCCTGTGAATCACCTTCCTCTATTCCAAATGTTGCTCTACATCAGGCAGACCAGACCCAGTTTTCACATGGTGATGAAGTAACTTGTGGATGCTCTGACAATTCTAAGCAAATGAAAATAAAATGTTCTAATGGAGAATGGAAACCTTTTCCTCTTTGTGCTGGTAATTTCTTTCCATGCGATTTTGATAATATTTCAGATGTGAGTGTGACATAGTTCTGTTCAAAATGTCAAGGATTTCAGCAATCAGTATGTAGCCGGACATCCTACAGTTTCATGCATCAAAACGAGGTGGTTTTTATTTACTCCTCTTTTAAGTGGCAGCATGTTCTTCATCCTGGAAAGACTCTGCACATACAATTTTGTAAGCACTATGAGCAGGTCAAAGACACTTGCATAGTCATTAAAATCAAGTATTAAAAGGAATTATTGTTAATAGCCACAGTGTGTTAGGCTTATCCCATCCTCACCATTTTTATGTGCATTAGTCCTTTTCACAGAATCCCAGAATGGGTCAGGCTGGAGGGGACCACAGTGGATCATCTGGTCCAACGTCCCTGCTCAAGCACCTGCAAAGTAAAGTTTTTCCTCATATTCATGTGGAAGTTCCCGTGCATCAGTTTCTGCCCATTGCCTCTTGTCCTCTTGTTTGGCACCACTGAGAAGAGCCTGGCTCCCTCCTCTTGATATCCTTCAGATATTGGTAGATCCTGGTAGACATTGATGAGGTCCCCTTCTCTTTTTGCTTATTTCATAGCCTTTCTATAGTTTTAGGGAATAAAACATTGCTTAGGTTTTTTATTATTATTTGCTGCACTCAGCAAAAGGGATCCTGTCAATATAAAAAAATTGCTTTGGGACTGAGAACAGTCTCTGCTTTAGGTAGCTGGAAAAAAAAGTCTTTGTTTCTGTAATCCAGGAGTCTTAGGCATCACTTCAAATTACAGTATATAAAAACCCACTTTCACATGGACATGCCTTGAGAAACTGATGGTATCTTCATCAGTACATATTATCTGAACTAAATCTATTTTCTTTTATAGCTCTTTTTGTTTATTTTTTTCAGATCCATCTCCTAAGTGTGAACTTCCAATGGGTGTTGAGTTTGTAAGCTCTGGTCAACATCCCATGTCAAAAAGGAGGACTGGGTTTCATAAAGTTATACATTACAGATGTACATCAGCTGACAAAAATATTAAACAGGCAACTTGTGTGTCTGGAAATTGGACGCCAGAGATTGAATGCCCAGGTATGTTTTTAGATTTGCATACCATTTCTTCTTTTTATGTAGGAATGATAAATGATCGTTATTAAAGCGTCTTAGTGTTGCTGTATAGTCTGAAATAGAAATGCTTACATGCTTATGTATATGTTAAAGGGTAGTCATGGCCATCATTTGAGCAGTTAACTAGGCTTAGAGATGCACTGCTTCAGTGAGGCAGACAATGATCTCTACTCTGACAATTGGAACAGTTGTCACTGTCACTTCTGATGTGAGAAAAGATGCAATGATAAATTTAAGCTCGATTCTTCAGAAGGACTTTACCCTGATGCAAATGAGAGAGCACATAGCTCAAGCTCCAGTCAAAGTTCCTTTATTTCCTGTAAACATTCAAAGCTTTTCAATTCCTGATTTTTCTTTTCTTCCATTTTTTCCAATTGCTTCCTAGTGAAACAATGAGAAAAATGCTGAGTTGGACAGTTCAAAAACACAGACCTAGAGGAGACTGCCCTCATACAACACACACCAGAGGTTGAATGCCTGCAGGACTGCCTTTATGCATGGCAGAGCAGGATATTGCCCATAGAAAGCAGGACTGTAAAACAATCATTGCCTCATGTCCTGCTTTGACTATACCAGATTTATGGGAAAAGATGCGTAGAAATGGGAGAAGCACACAGCACACAATCACTCTAGGGAACATTCCCATTCAAGACCAACTGTCTCTACCTTCTCAGTTTTCTGGAACAACAAGAGAAGCAACAAACCAAGCTCTGCAAGTCTCCTTGGATCTCCCTCCTAGGTCTACCTACTTCCCTCCATTTTCTTTCCTGTGGAAGGAAGAGCCTTTCATTCCTTGAGTGGCAAATTTGAAGCCTATTTCTTTGCTTCCGTTTGTGATTCTCATTTAGCTCTATCAACTAAGTCTAAAGAAAAACAAAACAAGAATACCAGAAGTTGGTTCAATTTTCCTAAAATATTTCACCATAGAGAAAGGAGCAGGGAAAACACATAAGAGTGTGCAGCTGTGTGAAGGGGAAAGAAGCTCCAGCTTAGCTTGGTGTGGGCAACTGTGACAGTCTTTTCTATGGCTCTGAAAGCATATGAGCGTCTGAACGCAGCTCTGATGTTTCTGAAGCAGAACAAAATGGTCATTTTATTAATTAAAGCTTGAGATAGCTACTGGAGAGTTATCCAACATCAGTGTTTTCTTGGTTCTTTGTGTTTTAATCTGTGATGAACTACTATACTTTATCTTATGTTCTGTTATAACATGAATATATGTCCTTAGCTGAGGAGAGTGTGTGCCCACCTCCACCTCAGGTGCCTGGTGCTCAACAGACAACAGTTGGAAGAAATTACAGGCATGGGAGTAAAATAGCTTTTTCATGTGCCAATGGTTTCCGGCTCATCGGTGCAAAAGAAATAACCTGCATAGAAGGGAAATGGCAATCACCACCTCAGTGTGCGGGTCAGTACTGGGATATTTTTCCTCTTTATTTTATTATGACTTCCTGTGTTATGCATTTGCAGTCATCATTAGCAGGAGGGTGCTGTTATTTACATAAGAATTGCATGAACAGGTAACTGCAGAAAAGCAATAGAACATAAGTTCCTAAAGAAAGTGTAGTTAAGCAACTGCAGTCTTTTTATTTACACAGACTGATCTAAGATGGCATATAAAACTTTCAGGTAGTCTCTCAAGAGCTGTGTGCTTATTTGTTTGAGTAATATATTGCATAATGGAGTCTCAGTTTTGACTGAAAGCCTTAAATAGTATCCCATAGTCTGTAAATCAGCATGATTTATTACTTAGTTGCAGTTGCAATATTAATTTTCTTGCATTATTGTTTATCTTTGTTTTCTGCACTTTTTAGAAAGACCATGTTTGCCACCACAGCCTGTAGAATATGCTGATACTCCAAGGCTGGAAAATCCAAACTTAAAAATTGAAATAGAAGGGAAATCAATTTATCTGACCAGTGCTAAATTTAAGTATGTTTGCCATTCTGGATACATGTTAAATGGACCAACTGAGATAACTTGTTCTATGGGAGAATGGACTTCAGCTCCTGAATGCTTGGGTAATATAAAAAAATCCTTTTTTTTTTTTTGAAGTACAGTTAGCAAAGAAATGGAAAGAATTTGAAACTGAAGCTTTATTTTGCTGTGGAATCTTATCTTCCATCACAGATGTCTTCAGAGCAATCCCGATGGGGTGCAAAACTGACTTCCTGAATGTAGCTTAGTTTTTAAATATTCCTTTGTATTCTTGCAATCTTTGTTCGGTTCATATCTCTGCCAGGTGAGTCCTAGGCATGTCCTTATAAGCCAAGCACCTGTTTTCTAGAGAGTCCAGTAGTTACTAAGAGTTGCTTTGGAGTCTCAGTGATGGAAATCACTTCAGTATAGTAAGGGACAGAAGCCCGTCGTAAAATTTTCTGGCATGTTTAGAAACAGGATCTAAATATTTTGGTGACTGAAATCTGTGCCTGTTTAGGGGAATAACTTGTTTAATCTTCCCTATGCTATCTTTTCTGTAATTATTAGTTAACTATAATTATATCATCCACTGTCAGCAGATGACTATGCTGATGTTAGAAATAGCTCACTAAAGCATCTGTGTGGTGGAAAGAATACACTCTTTTAATATGTATCCCATTAGCACAAGCATCAGATTTCTGTTCTCTTTTCAGAAATGTCATGTGGAAGGATTCCAAAAGTTGCCAATGCTCAGTTTGAAGGCAGAACCAAGAAAACTTATGAGCCTGGTGAAACAATTCGCTACCAGTGTAATGCAGGGTTCCTGATTGTTGGTTCCCCTGAAATTATTTGCAGAGAAGGAAATTGGACAGCACCGCCCTTCTGTGAAGGTATAGGTTCTACTTCTAAGTAGTCCTTCTTAATATTGCATGTGAATTAATATAGTTTCAACTCGGGCATGCATGTGAGTCAGGTCAATAGAGCCAACAGGTGACTTGCTTTGAATGGGCTGCTAAAACACCTATTTTTCTGGCTCCTGAGAAACAAAAAGCAGCGTAGATCAGCAAAGCAATCATTTCCTTGTGGGCTGAAGCTAGTAGCTGAAACTTAGCTGTCTGCTGCAATCAAGCAGGCAGATGGTTATGGAGGAATGCATCTTGGCTGCAAAGGAGGAGAAAACTAGAAGGGTAATGTATCTTATTTTCACATCACTAAAAATGTCAGTTGCTGACAGTTACCTTCAAACAGTAAATAAATCACACTGGTACACAATGCTGTACAGCACCACTCTGCACAACTGGCTGATCTCTGTGACTTCTTTTCTCTTTTGAGTCACTTTAGGCAAAAATAATATTGCCTGGTGAAGCATTGCAGAATAAAGACCAAATTATCTTCTTTTTCTACCTGTAGAAAATGATCTGCATTACACAAACCGGTTTTGCTCATCCGGAGCTCCAGAATGCAATGTTCTGTGGTTCTTATATTGTTGTACTGCAGTCCTTACATGCACCTCTCTTTTCAGATGTTAGCTGTGGACCCGCACCTGAAATCCCCAATGGTCATGTTGCAGACAATGAACAGGAGAGGTATCTGCCCAGTGCCAGAGTACATTATCAGTGTGAAAGCAATTTTCAAATGACAGGTGGAAATTTCGTCACTTGTTTAAATGGTGAATGGTCACAAGCACCAGTGTGCAGAGGTAGGAACCTGTGCTTTCACCTTGCCTGTTAGCATGAGGGGACTATTTCTCTACCTTAACACTCACCTTTTCTCCTTCTATTTTCTTTGGGTAAATCAACTTTGTACTTTCTATTGCTTGCTTGCACAGCACTTTAATTTAGCTTGATGCTTCTAGAAATACTGGGAATCTTTCCATCAACAGCAAAAACATCTTGAAGCAGCAGGGCCAAAAATGTGCTGTACTGTCACTCTCCCGCTTGTTATTGGTATTGCTCCAGTGTCCACCATTTCAACAACCTTCAGTCGAAAGACATGTAAGGGCTTCTGTCTTCTGTTCAAAGCTGTCAGGAAGCACCTGAATGGAAGCAGCAGTAGGAGAGGGAAGCAACTGTTCTTCTCCAGGGCTCCCCTCTGACCAATGCAGATCCCAGCAGAGACCCAGATCTAAGCCATGTAAGGTCTGCCAGGGCCACAGAACTGGAAAGATTGTTCCCGTGACAAGGAACGGTGAGGAGCTGTGCTCCTGTCCCCTGCTTTCATCCATGGCTGTAGGGTGAACAAGTGCTACTTGGCTTTCACACAGCTCCTTGGAGCTGGCTGCATTCCCCCATCCCTGAGCAGCACAGGGTGACAAGCTCCTCCAGCACTGCCAGTCCTCCAGAGCTCTGCACTTCAGCACAGTGTCAGTTTGGCTGTTACCTCTGGGGATTCCAGGAATGCCAGGGCTCCCTAGGGAGGGACATGGGCATGCAGGAAGGCTGCTGTGTCTTCTGTGACATTAAGTGTAGCTACAGAAACACTGGCTTTTTCTAGAAGCTCTTATTGACCCTGCCATCTCCTGAGAGTCCCAGATCATGTTCTGCTGCCACTGTCACACCTCATTGCTTTCTCCATGCTGTGACCCACCTGGGACAGAAAATCTGCACAGAAAATGTAACCAGGTTGATTCCTTTAACTTTTGGTTGTATAGATGAGCATCTCAACAACTGCAAAGGTGACTGTAGCCATGTCTCTTTTCAGATGTGACATGTAAACCTCCTCCAGAAATTGCTGGTGGTAGAATTAATATTAAAAAGACAAAGTATCTCCCTGGAGAGACTGCTAACTATGACTGCTGGCAAGGTTTTAAGATGACTGGGACTCCCACTGTAGTGTGCCAGAATGGGACCTGGACAGAGCTGCCAAAGTGCAAAGGTAATTTCTCTCTCTCTCTCTCTCTCTCTCTCTCTTCATAGAGTTGCCTGTCAGAGATTCTGTAATGAGGCTCAGTGGGATTTACTTTTCCAAATTTCAGTACCCTTATCATGCACAATTGCAATGTGTATGGCACAATCAGGAAAAAGTAATTTTCCCAGGAACCTATTCAGATGAGTTTACCAGCTGAGTGACTCAGGTGGCTTCACTCAAGAGGGCCAAATGCCACACTGTTCTGCAGGACAAGATGAAGTCCTGCAGACAGCTGCAAGCACTTCAGCTGTGGTCAAATGGGGTGAACAGGCAGTTGTGAGCCCGAGAGCTGGAGAAATGAGAAACTCTTGCTCTGTTTCACCTGCCAGGTATTAGATTTTCTCTCTGCTTTCCTCTGGTTCTCTTAGAGTAGTGCCAACTTTCTATGGGGTAGTATTTGTGATCAGACCTCCATTGCAGTTAAACTCTTGTGGTTTTTTGTCTCTGATTGGACAATTTCTTTCAGGAAAAGGTGGGAAATGTGGCCCACCTCCAACTATTGAAAACGGAGAGCTTCTTTCCTTCCGGAAATCAGAATATCAGCAAGGTACAACTCTGGAATACAAATGCCCAAGCCTGTACGTCTTGAAAGGATCTCAGTATATCACTTGTACTGATGGGCAGTGGTCAAGCCCCCCTGTTTGCCTAGGTACGTTGAAGCATGTGCTGGGGGGCCAAAGGCTGTGTGACTGCTCCTCTCTTCTTTTTCTCCGACCCTGAGAGCAGCACTTGTGCAGCAGCACTTGTGCTGGGGCTGGGATGCTGGCAGGGCAGTACAGCAGCGAGTCCTTCTTTTATCCCCAAAGACTTTCTCTGAAAGTTAGCTCGTGTAGTCCTTTCTGCTGCCAGGAGGTCTGCAAGGAGAGGACTTTGGCTGAACCCCCCTCTGTGAGGGGATCTCCACCTCTGTGCAAAGCTCCTGAGTGCTCCCAAGCTGGGGATGCTGCTACAGGCAGCAGGCTGGGAACAAGGAGGAGCGATCTGAGTGTGTGGCAGTTCTGGGGACATCCAGGTGTGCATCTGTGACACGGTAATGAGAAAATAAATTTAGAGAAGTACGGAGCAGAAGGGAAGGATCTCAAAAAACACGTGGTCAAGTTCATTGGTGCCTGCTGCCTTCCCCACCTGTGCTTCCTTCTTGCCCTGTGTGACTGTCAGACTGAAAAGGCTTCTCCACAGCTCTGTGTGGCATCTCAGCCATGGTCATTTTCCCTTTTAGGCTGGCTGTGAATGTCTTTTCTGTGGCAAGTAACAGAGGATGAGAGCAAATAGCTGGAAGGATTTTTTGAGGCAAACAACTTCTGTAGGCTCTAGGGGCAAAACAGTTACCTGTGTTGTGCCTGCATGAAATGCTGACACTCTTCAATTTTTCAAGTGGCATGTACAGCATCAGAAGAAGACATGGACAGAAACAATATTCAGCTGAAATGGTCCAGAGAAAGCAAGCTGTATTCCACATCGGGTGACTATATTGAATTTGATTGTAAAGCAGGATATGTGAAAGAGCAAGAACCTTCTCACTACAGAGTCAAGTGTGTGGAGGGGGTGTTGGATTACCCACGATGCAGACTGGGAAGTAAGTCATCTCCTCTTCAGCCACAGATTAGCTGCTGTGTTGTTGCATTTTTAGTGCTGAAAGGAGAGCAAAAAGCCTTTCCCTTTCCTGTGGAAGTGCCTGGGGAGGAGCCAGAACCCTGTTGTAAGCTGCAGGCAGGGAGGGGCAGTGCTCCCAAGAAGGCATTGGCCAGCATTCCTGAGCTGGAAAGACTGCTGGGGAAAGGGCACAATGGTTTCACAGCATCAGTTGTCCGGTGTGAGATCTACAGGCAAATAATGAAAGTCCTTTTTTGCAGGGAGCTGTACAGTGAGTATGGACCACATGGAAAGCAACAATATTCAACTACAGTCACACCAATCAAGAACTTCCACCTATCACTCTGGGGATTTTATTCTCTTTGAATGCAAAAGCGGGTACCGACAAGTTTCAAGAGCTGAGAAATTTAGAGCACAGTGCCGGGATGGAGTGATTACATATCCTACATGTCAAAGTAAGTGCACAGTGCTGAGGAAACAGAGTGGGGTTGTAGGAGGCAGTTTTGATGAAATTGCCTGTCCATTGCTCTGAGGAGCCTCTGTGGTGCATCAGGATTGGTATTCATGACTTTCCCCCTTTTTTGTCTTTACACAGAATCGTGGTTTGGATAAATGGAAATGGCATGAAGGAGGCCAGCTGTAGAAATAAGAGAGCCCTCAGCCAACCCAGTGATTTGAGCTCAATTTTTCCTGGTGTTTCCCATTTGGCTGTGCTTTGTTTGCAGCTTAGCCAATGTTCTGCCTTGGAATTTGTTATATTATTTTTATGATTGGATGATTGTGTTTGCATATTATCCACATTTTATCCATTTTTGTAAATGTATTTGCATTTTGTCCATCCAAATGGCTGTGCTTGCATTTTATCCATTCTGTACTGATCTCACTGTTATTTTTATTAACCATTATGTCCTGAAATAGGCTGATTTTGGTGGCATACTGAGACAAGAATTAAAGCTCGTGAGTAATTTGATTGTCAGCACTTGTCTATTCCTACTTTCTTCTCCATGTGCTTGCCTGGAAAGTACCCTGGAGTCACAGCTGAGGTGAGTGTCCTGAGTACCTGATCAGGAGGAGCAAGTAAGTGGAGCCCACAGCTCCATCTGCTGTTCACAAACAAGGACAAAGT